GCCTTCTGAACATTGACTACCCCAGACCAGGACTTGGAGATTAAAGAGAACATTGATTAAGAATGTTCACCTCCAAAAATGTTTCTGAAGAGCTATGCAAGATAAAACAAAGAAATGCCGCATTCCTGTACTAAGCTCCTGTTTTCATAAACGGTTTTGTTCATCCACTTAATTAAGAGTACATGGGAATTTGAGAACTCTCTCTGTCTCTCAGCTCTGGTACTTCTTACCTGCTGCTTGGCACGAGGACCCTGAAGTCACTCTTGTCTCTCCTAAAGGCAGAAACACCTGGGCCAATGCCAGCCTCCACCATAGCTAGAGACAAGCCTTCCACACTATTGGGGCTCAGTTCCAAGGACTGAATGAGACTGTCTGGGTGTCTGGGTATTTTAAGCTCTTGTTGTGAAACAGAGAATTCTTTTGTACCTGTAGAGTTCAGACTGAGTTTCATGAAGGGACTGTTTACTGAGGTGTGTGTAGGCCAAGATGAATCAGTATCGACTCAACTACACCTGGTTTTAATTAGAAGCTGAGTTGTAAGCAAGGTTAAGAAGTCCCTCAGAAGAATGGCCTGGTGATCTGCTTCTAAAAAATCAGCCACTGAAAATCCTTCAGAGCACTGTTCTACTCTTGACATACACGGGGTACCCATAAGTTGGGACCAACTCAGTAGCAACTGGTTGGTTAGTTGGTAGATGGAGGTTAAGGGAACAGTAAGAGATGCTGTAGCACTGCAGAGCAGCAATAGCAAGAAGCTGTTACCAACCCTAGGAAATAGAACCAGAGTCCAGGAAGAGCTGGAGCAGGGAAGAGGGCCGCCCAGCAGGCGCTATTATCATGGTGTAGAGCCACCACTGGAACGCTGGGGTCCATGCAGGGAGAGAGAAAGGGGAGAAATAATGCATCTTCTTTATCTCCTGCCTTTTATCTCTGGCTAGTGCCTCTCATTAGCCTCCCCAATTCCACCCAGCAAGGGGTCCCTGGTGATGGAAGTCCACACAGGCCAGACTTAACAGGGAACAGCAGGGTCAAAAAGGGTAGAAAATGAATCTGAGTTCAACTGAAAATAAGTGGCATGGCCATTCTCAGGCCTGGGGAAATTCATCGGGAGGGTTGTAAGTGGAAGGGAGAAGTTGGCTCCCTCTCCCACTCAACCCCCATCTGAAAGCGGCCTCATTCTCATCTGTGCTGACGATACAGACCACCTGCGGTACCCCTAATCTCCACTCCCGGAAACGGTGGAAAGACCATACCATTTTTTCTTTTAGCTATTGTTGTTAATAACTCTAGCCTTAACCAAATGTTGTACACAACCCAGTAGACACACTGGAATTAACTCACGGGGAGCACAGCTGTCCCACAGAATTCAGGGTCTGGAACAGAATGCTTATCCTCCTCCTCCAGGCTCTTCATCAAGCCCCAGAGCACACAAGGGGAAGTGGCACTAGATCTCAGAGATGTCATCATCTTGGGTTTCATCCCTCAGAGAGCAAGGACAGAAAGAATGTGGACAGAAAGACTGCCCCTATTGTCTAACCTTACTCACCTAAAGTATACTTCATGGCGCCTATGTCCAACAGGATGTCCTAAGGTCACATAAGTTTGAGGAATCGATATGCTGTTTCTAGGAAAATTGAAATACTCATCAATACATTAAAGATTCTGAGAAGTCATATAATAAATTAATTTGGACTCCTGGTGTGGTGCTGTAGGATCAGCAATGGACTGCAAACCACAAGGTTGGCAGTTCAAACCCACCAGCAACTCCTCAGAAACTCTATACAAGGTTGCTATGAGTTGGAACTGGCTCAAAGGCACTTAACAACAACAACAACATTATTTATTCTAGTATGTTTGAGCACAAAGACTTTCCTTAATTAAACAATTCTATCCTTTGAATCATCTTAAGAAAAAACTGGTTGAAAGAGAAGCTAAACAATGAGGTCATAGTCATCGGTTACAAGAATTGGGGGAAGACATAGACTACTTGTGCATGGTAACCATTGTTGTTATTAGGTGCTGTTGAGTTGGTTCTGACTGACAGCAACACTTTGTACAACAGAAAGAAGCACTGTCTGTGATCTATGCCATCCTCAAAACTGTTGTTACATTTGAGCCCATTATTGCTGTCACTGTGTCACTCCATCTCATTGGGGGGCTTCCAATTTTTTGCTGACCCTCTACTTTACCAAGCATGATGTCCCACTCCAGGCACTGGTCTCTCCTAAGAACCTCTCCTGTCCAAAGTATGAGAGACAAGTCTTGCTATCATCGCTTCTATGGAGCATTTTGGCTGTACTTATTCCAACACAGACTTGTTAGTTCATAGTAATTTATATATTTTTCTCTAGTACCATAATTTAATTGCATTGGTTCTTCTCCCATCTTGTTTATTCACTGTCCAACTTTCTCATGCATATGAGGTGATTTAAATACCATAATTTGGGTCCATAACACCTTAGTCCTCAAATTGACATCTTTGCTTTTTAACACATTAAAGAGGTAGTTGACCATAAATTTGCGTAATGTAGTATGCCCTTTGACTTCTTGACTGCTGCTTCCTTGAGTGCTGATTGTGGATCCAAGCAAAATTAAGTCTTTGGTAACTTCAGCTTCAGCCTGAACTTGCATCTGAGCACTTGGTGGTCTATTCCACAGTCAGTCCCTGGCCTTGTTTTGACTGATAATATTGAGCTTTTCCATTATCTCTTCCTACAGATACAGTCAGTTGATTCCTGTGTATTCTATCTGGTAAGGTCCATGTGTATAATTGCCTTTTATATGGTTGAAAAAGGTATTTACAATGAATAAGTAGTTGGTCTTGCAAAATTCTAACATGTGCTCTCCGGCATCATTTCTATCACCAAGACCATATTTTCTGACTATAGATCCTTCCTCTTTGTTTTCAATTTTTGAAATCCATTCATCAGTAATTGTCAATGCATTTTGATTGCATGTTTGATCAATTCTAGATAGAAGTTGGTAGAGTTCTTCAATTTCATCATCATTGACTTTAGTGGTTGGTGCATAAATTTGAATAATAGTGGTATTCACTGGTCTTCCTTATAGGCATATGGCTATTATCCTATCACAGACACCACTGTATTTCTAGATAGATCTTGAAATGGTCTTTTTGTGATGAATGTGATGCCATTCCTTTTCAGTTTGTCATTCCCAGAATAGTAAACCATATTATTGTTCAATTCAAAATGGCCAATGTCAGTCCATTTCAGCTCACTGATGCCTAGGATATCAATCTTTATGCATTCCAGTTCATTTTCGACAACTTCCAATTTTTCCTAGATTCATACTTTATACATCCATGTTTTGATTATTAATGTATGTTTGCAGCTGTTTCTTTTCATTTTGAGTTAATAGCCCATCAGCATGTGAAGGTCCTGAAAGCTTTACTTCATCTACATCATTATTGTCAACTGTTTTGTGGGGAAGGAGGCAGCTCTTCCCCAATATTTTGTGTGCTTCCCAACTTGAGGGGCTCATCTTCTGGAACTATTATCAGATAATGCCCCACTGCTATTTATAAGGTTTTTTAATGAGTAGCCATTCAGTAGTAGTCGATCTCTGCTTTCTAGACTCCCTGAGTCTGAAAGCTCAGCTGAAACCTGTCCCCCATGGGTGACCCTACTGATATTTAAAATACTGGTGGCATAGCTTCCAGAATCACAGCAACACACAAGCCACCACAGTACAACAAACTGACAGAGGAATGGTGGATGGTAACCATAGGTCTCTCTGAAAGTAGACCTTAACTAAGCAGGCAATTCCAGGTTAACATTTTTTAAACAGATTTTTTAAGAATAACATGTTCATTAAAAAGCATGCTAATTTTTGGTATTTCAACTCAGCAACAGAGTCAGTATCATGAGTATCTATAGCAACAGCTCTAGGCCTGTAAGTTGTACTATCCTAACATTCCAACCAGTGTTAACTATCATGTCATCACAGAGCAGAGTAGATAATAGTGTGAGGTCTGGCATCAGTTTTGTGAGCTCCACTCCAAACCCTACCAGTTCCCAGTTGTGAGACCTGGGCCAGTAACTTAATTTACCAAAGTCGTAATCTTCTCATCTTTAACATAGTGGGGATATCTCCAGGGTTGCCATGAACATCCAGTGTGATAAATTACATAATACTCTTGGTTTGGGGCCTGGCTCAATAGATACCTGTCTTGATCATCATCACCATGATCATCATCAGCGTCATCCCCACCCACTTCCAGTTTTTTAGGTGCCATTGGTTTGACCACATATCCTGTTCAGGAGGTGTTAGTGCCAAGACACTGAATCTCCTCTCTGTTGCCAAAAAAGCAGGTTTTTAGGGAACACAAAGTAAAAGATGAACATTCTGGCCTCACTAAGGGCTTGGAGCTAGTTCATAATACTTTGTCTTGGCAGAAAAAAACAAAACAAAACAAGGAACATTAGCAGATGATCATGTTGTGAACATAAAGAGCAAGGGGCCATTATGTTAATATGAGTACAGTCATAGGGTATGATGAGGTTGAGTTTTGTGTGTTTCTGTTAAAATCAAGGTTAAGAGACCAAAATTATGTCATTATGTTTAACCACTGTCATACTTAAATTATTCGTTTCGTTTAATAATTCAAAATTTAGTTCTACTGTGTAAAACTCTTAAATTTATATTATCAAAATAATTTTCACTTTGTATGTGTATGTGTGGATAGGGAAAAGTGTAATGCCTCCATTGAAATTGTCCTGCCTCCCTCCATCCCTCTCTCTCTGTCTCACTTCAGTTTTTCTTCTCCTCTGAAGACAAGTTATTCAACTTCAAACATTGGAAGAGACAGTGAGAGGAATGGCAAGACCTCATGCTACCATTTAAGTGCAAAGAAAGTTCATCAATAGGAGAGGGAGGTTCCCATCTCTCTCTCTCTCAACATTGAGGCCAATTCTTTCTCACTCCCCTAAGTTACTAGGGTCCCACAGTCATGTGCTCCAAGGCTGTACTGTTCTCTGCAGGTGTACCTGGCGGCAGGCACTGTATATGGACTGGAGGGTCAGCTGAACGAGCTGGAGGACGCTGCCCGCTACATTCACAGTGCTACTGATGAGACTGAACTGGCAGACCTGGAGGACCAGGTAGCCACAGCTGCGGCTCAGGTGCATCATGCTGAGCTCCAGGTGAGAACCTGCCTCTCTGCTCAGGGCAAAGGAAGAGGGAGCCCTATTTTCTTAAAGGATTATTGCAAACATGCTTATTATGGATATGGTCCTTCCAGGTGAATCCCATCGCATCTCCCCGCTTCTTAAATGCAGTCCTCTCTTCTTTATAAAATTACAATCTTGCTGGCCCCTAGTAGGTCTCCCCTCCCTGTTATCTAAGTTCCCAATTCCACCCAAGACCACTCTTCTCTAATCCTTGCACAGTGTTGATGACTTCATGTCATTTTTCCCAACTATAGTCCTGGTGTGGCATCGTAGGATCATCAGCACTGCCAACCACAAGGTTGGTAGTTCAAATCCACGAGCTGCTCCTTAGACACTCGATACAGGGTCACTATGAGTCAGAACTGACTCAATGGCACTTATCAACAACATAGACTGAAAGCTCTGTGAGTAGGAGTTTAACAATTGATAAGGATTAGTTTAATACCTGACACAGGCCTGCTACTCAGTAAAAATCGGTTCAGTGAGTGAGTGAGTGAAATTCGAAGCCTTGATTTCTCAAACCAGTGTTATCCAGGAGGAGCAGGCTGAATTTAGATCTGGCTACAACAGCATGTAACAACAACATTTCAGAACTGGTCACTGTTGTCTATAGCTTTGTAAAGATACCTGTTTACAAGTTTTATGCTTCTTCACTTGGCCTCTGACTGTGACATTCAGAAGTATCCACAGACTAAGCCACTGTTTCTCAAAGTCTCAGTTTCCTAGGACATCATCATTTGCATGGGAGACTGTCAGTCCTGCCTTTCAGCTTTGTGTATTGCCTCAAAATGGGAGCCTTTATCCACACTACCAGTTCTTGACAGAGAATGAAGCTTCAGACTCCAAAACTTGTTGTTGTTGCTAAGTGCCTTAGAGTCAGTTCCGACCTTAGTATCGGTTTCTGAGGCTATAAATCTTTATAGGAACAGATAGCCTTATCATGCCCACAGACCAGCTGATACGTTTGAACCCCTGACCTTGTGATTGACAGTCCACTGCCTGACCAACTACCTCCAGGGCTACTTCTTTCCAAAGAAGGCTTCAGTAAATGACCACAGAATTAGAATTTGTCTTGAGCAGCACTAAACAGTTGAGGGAGGGATAGAAGAGACAGGGAACCCTGTTGACAGGAAGGGAAACACACACTGGCTGCCTGATCCATCTGGTGTCCCCTATGCTTGGCCCTGTCCAGCATAAGAGTGTGGCAGTGTTGCATGGCACAGGAATTAATGCCATGCTCTGACCCAAACTGACAGTTAACAAATACTGGACATATCGATTATCCCTCTGAGCCAGCTTCCTCATCTGCAATTACAGGGGAATGGTACCTACTTCATAGGGTTAATTTGAGGCATGAATGAGTAAACATATAAAGCCCTTAACTCTGTGCCTGGCCCTTTTCTAAGAGCAGGAGGTGTGCCTTCCTCAGTCCTTGGGGACAGAGGAGGAGCGAGGTTTTTTATTGGCACAGAGCAAGCTCTTGTTCTCTGTGTCTGCCTTCAGATTCTGCTTGGAAGAAATCTGATCTCTCTCTGAACCTTCCCATATTACAGATGAGGAAACTGATGCCCAGAGAGGGAAGGGAGTTTCTCAAAGCCAAAGGCCTCTTACTGGTAGAGAGAGATTTGAAATGGGAGCTTCTAGACCTCCCTAATAAAGCTGAGTGCTGTGGTTTTGGGTCCAATGACTCATGGAAGAAGGAAGCAGGACCTATATAAATCCTTTGCCCTGCAAAGCTCAATCCAAGTGTTACCTCCTCTGGAAGCCTTTCTTGACCACTCTCTCCACCACCATGCTGAACGCTCTGATAGTACTGTAAAATACTCCAGAACTACCGAAGTCTGCTTTTACAAAGTAAGCCCAGGTTTTGTAGTAAAGACCAGTGAATTGCACAACCATCTAACAAAGGTTGCAGGCCAACGTTTCATTGGTCATTTGCAACTGTATAGATTAGATGCCTATATTCTTTCCTGAAAGGAGTTTTAATAGACCAGTGGCCTGTACAAGTTGAATGAGTGAATGAATGAAGTGAGTGTACTACAAAGCATCTGTTCTTTATAAATGCACAGCACATGTAATGAAGCTTCTCTCCTTCTTTACTTTCTCCCTGCTGATCCTATCCTGCTGCTGCATTAAGATTTCTGATATCGAGAGCCGAATTACAGCCCTGACCATTGCAGGATTAAACATAGCACCGTGTGTGCGCCTCACCAGAAAACGAGACCAGAAGCAAAGGAACCAGGTGTGTTGGTCTGTCCCTCCCCTAATGATACATTACACAACCTAGACAACTCCAAAGGTAAAATGTCTTTTTAGTTTTGTGAAAGGGTATTGACCACTGTGTTCTCTTTGTAGGTACAAACCATAGACACATCAAGGCAGCAGAGGAGGAAACTGCCAGCTCCACCAGTGGCAGGTATGTTTAAAGTAAAATCAAGAATTTTGGTGGTGGTGGTTATGTGCTGTGGAGTCACTTCCAACTCATAGTGACCCAACATAGAGTTTCTGATGCTGTCAATCTTTACGGGGACAGAAAGCCTTGTTTGTCCCATGGAACCACTGGTAGTTTCAAACTTCTGACTTAATATTAGCAGCCCGACTCATAACCACTACACTACCAGAGCTCCTCATTGACTTGGAATAGCTCAGAAATCTGAGTTTGGGGACCCAATCATATAGATAAGAGTCCTGGTATGGCACAGTAGAATAAGCACTGGATTGCTAACCTCAAGACTGGTGGTTCAAATCTACCAGACACTCCTCAGAGACCCTATATAGGGACTCTATAAGTCAGAACTGACTCAACAAATTTCCAACAACACCCAGAATTACTATTATGGGGAGACTGTGTGGGTCCCTAGAAGCAGACCCTGACAAAAAGATGTGAGTGCTAATAGTGTACTTGGGAGGTGATTCCAGGTCACACTGGTGGAGAAGGAGAGGAATGATGCAGGAAAAGAAATTAAATTAATACAGAGTTCTTTAATTAGTGGGTAGGCTAACCAACATTAAATCCTGCTGAGGACTTTTGGGAGGCAGTGTTGACTGCACTGTCAATTTTCCTGCCTAAAAGGTAGGAAGGGAGAGAATCTGTTTTTCAATCCTGTCCATCTTTGGCCGTAGGTTACTCCCAGGGGCATTAACTCTCTGGTACTTCTGATGTGCCTGATGCATTGGCGAAGAGAAACTAGGAACAGAGAGTGATAGCATTTAACAGTAGGCTACTGGCTGGAAGGGTGACTATCAGGGATGTGGCTTAAACACCACAGCAGCCACCAGTTTCCAACCTAGAAAGGAGTGCAACAAGGCCAGTCATTTCAGTCTTATCCGCTGGACATTTTCAACCATTTCCCTGGATTCAGAAAACACATAATGATTATATAAAATGAGAAATCTAGATTTTCAAATGTGAGTAATAGAAAGTCAGATGAGAATTTGAGTTTTGGTGCTGTGATTCATTGAATGCCTCCCTTATAGTCTATAAAACCCTATACAACTAGTACATTACATGTTCACAACCCCTTGTTTGAAACCTATGTGTCCAAATGAATTTCCTGGATTTTAGAGAGGTAATATGGTACATGTACTGTATATTTCACACCACTCACAAATCCCACACATGGTAGCTAAGGTGTGTCTTTTCTTGTTGCACAAATACCACAAGTTGGTGGCTTTGACTAATATAAATTTATTTTCTCAGTTTAGGAGGCTTTTAGTCTGAATGTAGGGCACTGACTCTAGGGAAAGCTTTCTCTCTCTCTCCACTCTGGGGAGAAATACTTTTCTCAGCTTCTTTGGCATTTTTCGCACAGTTACTTGGAGATCTGTATGTGGCACCTGTCTTTCCCCATTTGTGCTGGGTTAGTTTTGTACCTGAGCTGCTGCTTTTATATCTCAAAAGTGATTGGCATAAACAATCCCCTACCCTGATGTGGCTTCATTGACCTAACAAACTGGAGTTATAAGTAACATCAAGAAAAAATTGAAGTTGTCAGTTTTTACTTGGGTCCACAATCAATACCCATCGATGTAGCAGTTAAGTAAAACTAGTTGTTGTTGTTAGGTGCCATCGAGTCATTACCGACTCATAACAACCCTATGCACAACAGTATGAAACACTGACCAGCCTAGGACAACCTCACAATTGTTGCCACACTTGAGCCCACTGAATGCTGCCACTTTGCCAATCCATCTCACTGGAGGTCTTCCTTTTTTTGTCTGACCCTCCACCTTACCAAACATGATATCCTTCTCCAGTGACTGTTTCCTCCTGATAATATGTCTGAAGGATGAGAGACAAAGTCTGGCAATCCTGGCCTCCAAGGAGCACTCTGGCTGCACTTCTTCCAACACAGATCTGTTTGTTCTTTTGACAGCCCATGGCACTTTCAATATTCTCCTCCAACACCATAACTCAAAAGCATCAATTTTTCTACGATCTTCCTTATTCACTGTCCAGCTTTCACATGCATATGAAGTTATTGAAAATACCATGGCTTGGGTCAAGCGCACCTTAGTCCTCAAGCTGACAGATTTGCTCTTCAACACTTTAAAAAGGTCGTGTGCAGCAGATTTGCTTAATGCAATATATCGTTTGATTTCTTGACTGCTGCTTCCAAGAGTGTTAATAGTTGATACAAGAAGAATGAAATTCTTGACAACCTCAATCTTTTCTCCATTGACAAGAATGTTGTTTATTGGTCCAGTGGTGAGGATTGTTTTTCTTTACATTGAGGTGCAATCCATACTGAAGGCTGTGCTAAAAGATCTTCATAAGTAAGTATTTTAAGTCCTCTTCACTTTCAGAAATCAAGGTTGTAGAATCTGTAATAGTAGTAAAAATTACTTGTACCATTGAACCAGACTGCTGCCAAATAACCTCTTCACAGTGTTAAAAAGCAAAGATATTACTTTAAGGACTTAGGTGTGCCTAACAGAAACCACAGAATTTTCAGTTGCCTCAGATGAATGCAAAAGATGGACAGTAAATAAGGAAGAATGAGGAACTGATGCTTTTGAATTACAGTGTTAATGAAGAATATTGAATATACTATGGACTGCCAGTTCTCTGTCAATGCACTAATGAAGCAATGGTTTAATTATCTTCAGCAAAATTTTACTTCGATGTCATACTGATGATATTGTTCAATGATTTCCACATTCCATTGGGTCATCTGTGGAATAGGCTTGAATTTGCTAGGTAGCTGACTTCCAAATTTCTTGGCATAGATGGGTAAATGGCTCTAGTGCTATATCAGTTTGTTGAAAGATTTCAATTTGTATTTCATCAATTCTTGGAGCCTTGTTGGTGACCAATGCCTTCAGTGCAGTGTGGACTTCTTCCTTAGGTACCATTGGTTCTTGATCATATGCTACCTCTTGAAATGGTTAAACATCAACTTTATATATATACACACACAGTAACTCTGTATATACTTCCATCTTCTTTTGATGCTTTTTGCATCATTCAATAATTTGTCCATAGAATCCTTCAATATTGCTTGAAGTTTTCCTTCAGTTATTTCAGCTGAAATGCTGAATGTGTTCTTTCTTTTTGATTTTCTGACTGCAGGTCTTTGCACATTTCATTATAATACTTGACTTTATCCTCTCAAGCTGCCCTCTGAAATCTTCTGTTCAGCTCTTTGACTTCCTCATGTCTCCCATTCATCACTTGTGCATCTCTATGCTGGAGGGCAAATATCAGGATAGCTTCTGACACCCACTTTGGTCTTTTCTTTCACACCAATCTTTTTAATGACCTTTTGCTTTCTTCGTATATGATGTTCTTGTTATCATCCCACAGTTCTAATGGTCTTTGGTCATTAGTGTCTCTTAATTCAGCTAGGATATGTTTAAGGTCATATTTTGCCTCTCAAGGACTTGATTTAATTTTGCTCAGCTTCAGCCTGAGCTTCATTTGAGCAACTGATCATCTGTTTTACAGTCTGTCCTTGGCCTTGTTTTGACTGAGGATACTGAGCTTTTCCACCATCTCTTACCACAGATGTAGTCAGTTTGCCTCCTCTGCATTCCATCTAGTGAGGTCTATGCATTAAAAACCAGTATTTGCAATGGAGAAGACATTTTATTGGTCTTGCAAGATTCTATCATGCCACTGCCAGCATCATTTCAGTCACCACCATATTTTCCAACTTCCTCTCTTTTTCCAACCTTCACATTCTAGTCACCAGTAACTAGCAATACTTCTTGAATGCATGTTTTATTCATTTTAACTGATGAAGTTGGTAGAATTCTTCAATTTCATCATCACTGGCTTTAGTGGTTAGTGTATAAATCTGCGTGATATTGAATAGTCTTCATTGTAGGCTTATGGACATTATCCTATCACAGAGAACATTGTACTTCAAATAGTTCTTGAAATATTCTTTGTGATGATGAATGTGATGCCATTCTTCTTCTATCTGTCATTCTCAGCATAGTACATCATATGATTTTCTGACTCAAAATGTCAATACCAGTCAATTTCAGCTCACCAACATGTAGGATATGAATTTTTATGTGTTCCACTTCAATTTTAACAACTTCCAATTTTCCTAGATTCATACTTCTTACATTCCATGTTGCACATATTAGTGGATGTTTGCAGTTAGTTGTTCCTCCTCATTTTGAGTTGTGCCCCATAAGCAAATGAAGGTCCCCAAAACTTTCCTCCATTCGCTTCATCATGTTCAACTCTACTTTGATGAGGCAGCTCTTCCCCAGGCTTATTTTGAGTGCTTTCCAACCTGACGTGCTCATCTTCTGGCCCTATACCTACAACATTCTGCTGCTATTCATAAGGTTTCCAAAAGCTAACAATACAGAAGTAGCCCACCTCTCCTTCTTCTATTCTGTCTTAGTCTGGGAGCTCTGCTGAAACCTGTCTCCCATGGGTGCCCCTTCTGGTATTTAAAATACCCGTGGCATAGTTTCCAGCATCACTGCAACACACAAGACACCACAGTAAGTATGACAAACTGATAACCAACAGTCAGATATTCAAGCCAGATTCAGAAGAGGACTTTGAATGAGGGATATCATTGCTGATGTCAGAAGGATCTTGGCTAAAAGGAGAAAGTACCAGACAGATATTTACTTGTGCTTTATTGACTATGCAAAGGCTTTTGACTGAATGGATGACAAGCTATATATACCATTGCAAAAAGTGGGTATTCAAGAATACTTAATTGTGCTCATTAGGAACCTATACATAAATCAAGAGGCAGTTGTTCAAACAGAAAAAGGGAATACTGAATGGTTTAAAATCAGGAAAGGTGTGTGTCATGGTTGTATTGTTTTACCACATTTGTTCAGTCTATATGCTGAGCAGATAATCCAAGAAGCTGGATTATATGGAGGAGAACACTGCATCAGGATTGGAAGAGGACTCATTAACAACCTATGATATACAGA